CAGTTGACATACCAGATTGAGAAGATGAGTTGGATTGTTGAGGGTTTCCATACCTCAAGTTAGGATGATCCCGCAATCCAGGGTTGTAAGAATTTGAGAATGGATCATACCTCTTCTGTTGATGGCCTTGGAAACCCAAGGCGTTGACTTGTTCTTCTTGGAGGGATGGGCATGAATCAGTGGGGTGCCCGGTTGATGTGCAAATGCCACAAGCTTTGACCTCCTGAGTGTTAGGTTTCAGAAGAAGTTCTTTGACAAGAGAAGTCAAACTGGCAACTTGGCCTTCCAACGAGGTGTTGGATTCTGCTGCGGCAACCCTTCGAGTTGAGGATCGCCCACTGTAATGTCTGGAGTTCTCGGCCAATTCCGAGATGAGATTCCTTGCTTGAGAAGGGGTTTTGTTAACAATTCCCCCTCCACAAGCCGCATTCACCATGCGCCTATCTTGATCCGCAAGACCATCATAAAAATAGAGGATGAGGTCTTGCTCGGTGTACCCATGATATGGGCAACTAGCACACAGCTTTTTGAAGCGCTCCCAATATTCATATAATGTTTCATCTTCTTTTTGCTCAATGTTGCTTATTTGTTTTTTTAAAGAAGATGAGATTGAGGCGGGATAGTACCTATCCAAGAAGCATTTTTTCATTGCTGCCCATGTGTCTATACTTCCCGAAGGAAGATAGAATAGCCAATCCTTTGCAGTGTCTTTGAGGGAGAATGGAAAATCCCTCAATTTGATTTGTTCTTCCGAGACACCACTGGGGCACATGTTTGTGCACACAATATGGAACTCAGAAAGGTGTTTGTTCGGATCTTCTCCTCTTAGGCCATGAAAGGATGGCAGTAGATGTATGAGCCCAGATTTTAGCTCAAATGTATTACCTTCATCGAGTGTAGGGAAGGTAATACATAACGGTTGTTGATTGAGATTTGGAGCAGTGAGCTCCCGTAGTGTTCTTGTCTCAAGAGTCATGGTTATTGACTCTTCGGTCTCGCTAGAATGAGAACTAGCGCTGGATGAATCTCTGATAGATGATTCCTCCGAGTCGGTATTAGAAAATCTACTTTTCAACCGCTCGAAAGTGTGTTCTATTTCTGGGTTTGTTTGGTATGTGATTTTGTTTATGGAGAGATGTTTAACCATAAACTCCACTAAGCTCAGAAATAGAAGAAATAAGAACTCTTTAAAAATTTTTTGTTTAATATTAATTTTTTGATTTTTCTTGATACGAAATTAAAAGAAAATTTTAATTGCCTTTCCCCGGCAACGGCGCCAAATTTGACGTGCACTCGTGGTTAGGTGCACTCAAAATAATTAATCAATACAACACTAATACGTAGTATAGTGTAGTAAGGTTCGTATCCACAGGGAAAAGAATACTTTTCTTTTATATAAATAATAACAAGGGGGGTTTAGATTTGTTTGGTTTAATAACACTAAGATAAACGACCTATATGAGTTTAATTCAATGAGATGGGGACTTGGTTTTGCTTTTATCCACTTAATGAAATGTTCGTCGATCCCGGTTATATCTTTAACTATCTTCCTCTCGAATACTCAATCGAGGAGTATATCCAGTTCATCGAGGGTAGTTATTAATAACGAGATGCGTTCATTAATAAAACTTACTATCGAGTCAATATAGAACAAGCGCCGTATATTAACTTGATAGTAGCAATAAACTTAAGATGAAAACGATTGAGATTGATAACCTCAACACAAGCGGTTTATTGGTTTAATCAATATAATTAATTCCCCTTGGCATATTAACCATGAGATGCATGCATTAATATTCCAAGTTTACTACCGTTGAAAGAACCGGATTAATAACAAGCGTATTAACCGATTGATTCTAGTAATAATTAATATGAGAAACAATACTAGTTGATACTTTAAGTAATGTTTAAGATATTAACATGAAATATGAATAGGAATTAATCAATACTCAAGGAAGAATATTAAAATATATGAATCCTACAATGATTAATATCAAGATGTTAACTAATTGTCATCTTAGTAACACTCCCCAATATTATCATAGAGGAAGAAATAGCTATTACTATAACCAATGTCAAGATGTTAACTAATTGTCATCTTAGTAACACTCCCCAACTTTGATATAGAGATAGTATTTTGAAAGAAAGAATTAATATTCAAGGAAGAAGATTAAAGAAAAATAACTCACAACTTACAAATTCATTAAGCTTCAAAGTAGCAAAACCAAGATGGAAGAGTTTAGCTCCTCATTTGGAGACTAAACATGATGAAAAATATAAAGAAAGAGCTATTCTATACTGAGCTTAGATGTACAAAGGGATTGGATATCTTTTTGTGAAGGAAAGGAGGTGTATTTATAGGTTTTTGGGATGGGATTCGGGTACTCGATCGGGTATATACATGGTACCCGATCGAGTATGTGTGTAACACCCGATCCGAGGCATACTCGACCGGTTTCAGGCTATTTTCTAAGTGTATACCCGATCGAGTATATATGAATACCCGGTCGAGTATGCTTAGAAAGTGGTATTCGGGCTATACTCGACCGATCTTCGTTTGCAATTTAAAAGCATACCCGATCGGGTATGTCGGTCTACCCGATCGGGTATAGACATAGAATCGTGGCAAAAATCTTCCCTGCATGTTCCTTTGTCTTCGGATCTGATCCGATTAGAAGTTCCAACCTAATACCCGATCGAGTATAGCTAATACTCGACCGAGTATAGACCAAAATTCAGGATCTTCTTTTGTCTTTGAACTTTTGCACCTTCTCTTCACTTTTTGGGTTCACCAACTGTACTTTGGGTGACCAAAACCTGCTTAAGCTCAGAATATATCTAATCTAACCTATTTACAAGAATTTAACAATCTAATCTATTACACCAAAAAGTGTGTAATTTACAAAGTAAAAGTCAAGCAAAACTTATTAAAAACATAAACATAGAAATGGAAATTACGAACGTATCAATAGCCGTTGGGGGGGGTACACGTGGAGTGTAGCCGTTGGCTGCTCGTGGGCGGGCGTCACCGGTTGGGTGAAACGACGGTGCGTAATGATGGCTTTGGCTGCTGGGAGCCCGGATCTCGGCCCAAGCCCGGATCTGGGAGCCTATAAATACCCCAAGCCAAGGCCATTCCTTCTTTACGCATCCAACATCCCTAGCGAAGCTCTGCCAAAAATTCTAGAGAGAGAAACTCAAGCCTTCGGTCAAAACTCAGCTTTCAGAGGTCAGTTCTCCTTCCGCCCTTAGCTCCATTTGAGTATTTAGCTTTTGGCCTTAGGGTTAGTCTTTAGGACCCTTCAGGAACCCCCCCTTTGTACGAGTTTCCCGACCCCTCGCCTTTTAGAAGTAATGTCGTCAGCTAGTGATTCCCAAGACATCTCCGGGGAGGCTTCAGTGAACGTTGAAGTGCCGTCTGACGTGGAATCCTCGAGCGAGCAGCTCTCGGTCATCGATGATAGGGCCGTGGCCGAGGCGATACAGGGTGACCTTCGGCTTGAGCTCGAGGCCGAAGACTTCGAGCAGGTGAACGCGGATGAGGAGCTTGCTATCGCCTGTCAAGTGGCCGAGGACGAGGCCCAGAAGGAAGGCCTGAAGGTGACTGTAGCTATCCCTCCCCCTCGGTGTGGTACTGAAGCTGGGAGCTCCCAGCCTATAGACACTGTACCCCTCAGTGTGGCCCCAGGGCAGAAGAGAAAGAAGGCGAGGATGGCTCCGAAGAAGAAGCAAGCTGCCGTCGATGCTGGCCAGCCACTGGGACTGCCCGAGGGCTATTCTTTCCTGAATACGGCCGCCTTGGAGGTCAAGAATAAAGCTACCCGAGGGGAAATGATGGCGGTACAATTTTTGGTAGGGCCTTCGGCGCAAGTGGTAGAGCCAAAGCCGGATGATGTGCTCCTTCGTGCCCCCGACGGCTGTTTTGCCGTACATCTGCTTTCGGTGGAGCTGGGTCTCAGATTTCCCCTTCATCCTTTCGTGTTGGAGTACCTACGCTTCGTCAAGCTAGCCCCCTGCCAGTTGACCCCGAACAGTCACTCATATCTGGCAGGGTTCCTGTCACTGTGCCTCAGTCGAAGGGTCCCCCCTACTCTGGAGCAATTCTTCCCGTCGTTCAACTTATGTCGGGGGGGGGGGGCATTCGAATGCCAGGGGCTATGGTAATTTGCAGCAGCTCCCGAGGTTCAGGATTTTTGATGAGGCGCATTCGTCTCACAAGGGGTGGAAGGACAAGTTCTGTTATATCCGGTTGGCCGAGAACCCCTTCTCCGCCCCGTTTGGTGATAGGTTTCGGCGGCACCCGAAGACAGAAGGGTATGCCCTCGAAAAAAATGGGCGAGTGTTGTCCAAGAAGCCGGAGGGTTCCGATAAGCATGTGTCCATCAAAAGCGCAACGCTCTCCAGTGAGTTGTACAAGCTCGGCTTCCGTCGGTACCGGCTGATGGGGGAGAAGGAGGAAGGCTACGCCATGATTGATCGCGTATATGAGAGTGCCGAAGGTTGTTGTAATGCCGAGGGCTTCAATTTTCACACTTAGAAAAATCTCTTCCACTTTTTTTTTGCTTTGTTGTAGTAATGAACTAACCCTTGTGTGCCTTCTTGTGTTTCAGGACCAGACATGGACGCTCGGAACCTTGTCAAGCTGAAGAGGCAACTTGCCAGGGAGGAGCAGAAAAAGGAGGCCCCCGCACAGTAGAGGGCGGTCGATGAGATCTTCCCCAAGGCGGGAGCGGCCGAAGAGGCCAAGGAGGTGGGGCCCGTCCCGGAGGCCGCCGTCGGGGGCTCCCCCGGTCTGGAGCCGAAGAGGAAAAGGCTTGGGAAGGACCCGGCACAACCGGAGGGGAAGAAGAAGAAGAAGAAGAAGAAGAAGGGGGCCCCGGAGTCGAAGGAAGCCCCCGTTGTGGTCGTAGACGAATCTTCTCCTCCCAAGCCTTCGGGTCAAGCCACTGATCTGACATGGCCCCTGGAAAAAGTCCAATTCTCCATCACGAATGGGACTGCTATCATGCACGGGACCCTGAACCCGAAGGAGTTTTTGAGGGGTGCCACCCCTCCGACCGATAAGTCTGTGCTCTCCCGTCAGGCCGACGATGTCCTCTGCTCTAAGGTTCTGATGGCCTCGGTTACGGTAAGGTTCCTTCCCTCTCTTTTGTAGATAACTTCATCCTTTACATGTGTAGTGGCTAAACCTCCGGTAATTCATGTCTGCTTTCAGGCGAGCCTTGGCCTTGGCGAGCTGGTCCAGAGGATAGAACAGCATGACTCGGAGAAGAAGAAAGACACTGAAGCACTGGCTGAGGCCCGAAGGCAGCTCAAGGAGGCCGAGGACGCTCGCAAAGCTGAGCAAGAGGCTTTCAAAGAAATCCTCGAGGGCTCCAAGACGGTGGCCAGAGCCGAAGGCAAAGCAGAGGCGGAGAAGGCTACGGCCGATGCTGCCAAGAAGGCCGCGGAGGATGCCGAGGAGGCCCGGATCAAAGCTGTCGCCGAAGCCCGGGAGGATGTTGTCACCGCTTTTGCTGTGGAGGGATGGAAAGCCGAAGGCCGGAAGGAATGGGTGGCCTCGGTGGTGGAAGCTTCGGTGAACGAATGGGTGAAAGGCCCAGGCGCAATGTGGTTGGCCCGAAAGGGGAAAGAGTATTATGACGGGGGTGAGTACTTTACTCAGGCCCTTGTATATCGAAGGCTACCCCGACATTTTGGGGTGGACCCGAAGGCCTTTGATCCGGCATCCTATGGTCTCCCTCCCCTTCAGCCAGACCCCAGGGTTCCCCTCCCTGAAGGCGTTGCGAGGCCCGATTTGGAAGACTCCCTGCTGATGGCCGAGGGCAGTGACGAAGAGGAGGAAATTGGGGATGACGCTGCGTCAAACCCTGCAGTAGAGGACGCCTCCGGGAATGCCGTTGTTGATTCGTAACCTGTACTTAGTAAATTTTTTAAACTTCTGTTGTAATGAACACCATTGATCCTTCGGCTTCGGCCCGTCTGTAACAGTTACATTTACTCCTTTTTTGTGATGATTTATGGGTGAGTGCTAGCCTTCGGGCATTGTATGTATACATGACTTGTTCGCTTTAATTCATTCTCCCTTGAATGTATGCCATCGTTTCTTCTTGAGTGTATGCCTTCGCCCTTTTTTGAATGTATGTTTAGGACTTAGAATATTTTCCAAGTGTTTGAATACAGGTGTAGCCTTCGGTAGTTGGGCACCCTTTGCTGGATATACAACCGAGGGCACAGCTATAGCTAGGACTTAGAAAAATTTTCTAAGTGTTGATTCCTTGTGTACTGCAGCCTTTGATTGATAGGTAGCCTTCGGCTTTTGGGTCCCTTGAGATGAGGGTGAAATATGTAAGACTTAGAAAGATTTCTAAGTGTAGATTTTCCCTTGGGAGCCTTCGGGAGATGGCACCCCTTCTAGATGTATGAGTAGTTTATCGGGGGGAAAATATGTAGGACTTAGAAAATTTTCTAAGTGATGTTGTATCGCATAGCCTTCGGCTGTCATATTCCCTTAGTTGTAATATTGATTGGGCCGGGGGCCAAATCTTTAGGATTTAGAATTTTTTCCAAGTGCTGCTTCCTTATGTCGCCTTCGGGTGATAGGTGCCCTCTGACTCTGCAACGCTCTTGCGAGATGCCCGGGGGCTACTCATTTAGGACTTAGAATATTTTCTAAGCGTAAATTGATGTTGAGCTTCCGGATGTAGATCCCTCCGGGTATATGAATAGGACCCCTCGGGTGATCGTGAGGCCCTTGTGTTGTATGAGTATTCGACCGAGGGCCAAATATGTGGGCCTTAGGAAAATCTCAAAGTGTGCTGTAGATGTTGAACCTTCGGTCAGTGAGGAGCCTGTCCGGGGGGCAGATATTTTGGGATAAGCCCCCTCGGTTGGCCTTTGATGATTTGTAATAGATGCCTTCGGTTGTCTGGTGACATATTAACCTCCGGTTGCTGTCATTTTCCAAAAGTGTGGACTTAGGAAAAGTGTGGAATCCTGTTGTTGTGAAGAAAGCCAATGAGGAGTGTGTGCCCTCGGCATACACTTTGAAAAGTTGTAGAGTCTGACTTAGCCAGTTGTGTCCCTTGTAATGGGGTAGGGGCCCTCGGTATTAGTGCATAACAGATGCCTTCGGTATTTGTTTGAAGTGTCGTTTAGTGGACCTTGGATAGTCCAGTCTCTTTGTATTGTTGAAGCCTTCGGTGCTTGTGTGACCGGAGGTGACCAGGTAGTGGACTTAGCCGTTTCTTGATGCTATTTGTTTGAGTAGTATCCTTCCGGAAATAGGAGCCTTCAATTACCGGAGGTGTTCCCGTGGGGAGCCCTCGGCATGTTGTGATCTGTTGGAGTCTACTCCCCTCCACCCCTCCTTTTTTTTTTGGTTGGTGGTGAAGGGAAGGCATCAAGAAACTTGGTTTCTTGGTAAGGCTGGGCCTATTAGGAGACCATCAGAATACACCAATGGCTCTCCTCCCTCGGGTTAACCTTCCGAGTTCCGAGGGGATCGAGGGTCGTTTCCTGGGCACAAGATATGGTGGTCTGTAACCTGCCTCCCCTTGGGGGATGGCGCGGAAAGCGCCTCATTTTTGAAAGTCGTCCCCTCGGCGCTAGACATAGTCCGTGGCCTGCCACACCCTTGGGATGGTGGCGCGGGGAGCGTTTCAGTTTGGAAGTCAAATCCTGGGCATTTCTCGTGCCTGTCATACCCTTGGGGTGATGACGCGGATAGCGTTCCGTTTTTGAAAGTCGAATCCTGGGCATTTCTCATGCCTGTCATACCCTGGGGGTAGTGACGCGGAAAGCGTTTCAAGGAAGGGTTTTCATTTGCACACTAGTTGCAAATGGCCGGGGGCACTACGTGCCGCCGGCACCGATGGTGGCGCCTTCGGTATATGCGTCCTCGTGGGGTACGGCTTTTAGAAACAAGACTTGGTGTTAGTTTCGATGTGTAGCCCCCGGTACTTGGTACCGAGGGGTCTTCTGTAGGAACACTTGGTGTTCTCTTTTGTTGCAGTTGATGGAGGTGTCTACCCTCGGTACCTGGTACCGAAGGGTCTTCAAATGAAACACTTGGTGTTTCCCAACAGATGTTTGGAAGTTGATAGGAGAGCATATCCCTGGCACTGGGTGCCGAGGGGTCTTCTTGGAAACATTTGGTGTTTTTCTTCGTTTTGATGTTGATGATGGAGGTGTACCCTCGGCACTGGGTGCCGAAGGGTCTTCTGTAGGAACACTTGGTGTTCTTATCTTTTCTTTTTTGATGTTGAAGGTGGGAATGTACCCTCGGCACTGGGTGCCGAAGGGAAATGAAACACATGGCGTTCCTTGTCATTGGTGATAGGAGTTCCCTCCCTCGGTACTTGGTACCGATGGGTCTTGACTGAAAACACATGGTGTTTTCACTGTCGTCGTAGGTGTTGATGGTGTCTGCCCTCGGCACTTGACGCCAGAGGGGGTTCTTCTCGAGGTGAGGCCTGGGGACGGTAGTTGGTATGAGGGCTTGGCCGCTCATAAGTGTTTTGTTCTTGATGTCTTGAATGTATCTTCATTCTTCGAAATTGGAGGCCTTGGGCCATAGGATAGTACATTCACTAGTTATGAGGGCTTGGCCGCTCTTACATTATCGGTAAAATTTAACTAAGTGGTGTACATTCCAGTGCCTAGGGACTTCTTTCCCGTTGGGACGTTTCAGCTTGTAAGTTCCAGGTTTGACGATGGCTGCTATGATGTAGGGACCTTCGAATTTTGGTGCCATTTTGCCTCCCTCGGTCGATTGGCTGGCTTCCCTCCTCCGGAGGACATAGTCCCCCACTTGGAATTCTCTGGTGCGAACTTTGGCGTCGATGTAGCTTTTGACTTGCCTTCGGTAATTTTCTGCTCGGATGAAGGCCTGCTCCCGGCGTTCTGAAATGAGGTGGAGGTCGAGGGCCATGTTGTTGTCGTTGACCTCGGGGTCATATTGGATCACCCTCCGGGTGGGAAGGGTGACTTCCGTAGGAGCTTTGGCTTCAAAACCGTAGCAAAGGGAGAAAGGTGTTTCACCTGTTGCTCGCCGAGGGGTGGTGCGGTAGGCCCAAAGGATGTTGTGGAGTTCTTCCACCCAGCCACCGCCCTCGGCCTCCAGCTTCTTTTTGAGGCCCTCGAGCAAAGTCCGGTTGGCATTATCTACTTGCCCGTTGCCTTGAGGGTAGGCAACGGAGGAGAAGGTGTGTTTGATGCCCCATGCCTCCAGAAGGGCATATAAGGGGGCTGCCTCAAATTGTGTCCCATTGTCGGAGATGATCTGCTAGGGGACGCCAAACCTTGTGAGGATGTTCTTGAGGACGAAGTGACGGCACTTCGCCTCTGTGATGCTGGCGAGGGGTTCAGCCTCCACCCACTTGGTAAAGTAGTCGATGGCCACAATGATGTATCTGTTGTTGGAGGTGCCCCTCGGCAGAGGGCCCACAAGGTCTATCCCCCATTGAGAAAAGGGGACGGATGTGCTGATGGGGGCATAGTTGACCGCTGGCCTGCCGGGGGCTTTCTAGAAATGTTGACATGCGGTGCACCTCCGGGCAATGTCAGCACAATCTCTGGCCATGGTTGGCTAGAAGTAGCCCTGGAGAATGAGCCTTCGGGACATGGAGAAGGGTCCCTGGTGAGCTGAGCAAGTGCCACTGTGCACTTCCTCCATTGCGACCTCGGCTTCATCTTGATGAAGGCACCGAAGTAGCGTGCCATTGTAAGATCGTTTGTAGAGCCTTCCATCTTCGATGGTGTAGCTAGGAGCCTCAGCTTTGCTAGTTTAGCGCGGGTCTCATTTTCGGGTAGCTGCCCTGTGGAGATGAAGGCGGTGATATCTGAGATCCAATCCTCTTGGCGTTGTTGTATGTTCATAACGGGGCTTGCATGGATACTTGAGAGGCTGAGTTCCTCAATTTTGCCAATTTTGGAGATGTGCTCGGGGGAGTCGGCCGAGAGCTTAGATAATATGTCGGCCTCGGAGTTCTGAGCCCTCGGTATTTGAGTGAGAGAGTGTGCCTCAAATACCTTAAGCAACTCCTTGGCCGCTTCCTTGTACTGTTTCATTCTTCCCTCCTTGGCCTCATATTCCTCGGAGATTTGGCCAACGACCAACTTGGAGTCACATTTGATGTGGATCTGCCGAGCCCTCATGTTGGCAGCCAGCCGAAGGCCACATAGGAGGGCCTCATATTCGGCCTCGTTGTTGGAGAATTTGAAGGAGAAGCGGATTGCATAGTAGGCTCTGAAGCCCTCGGGAGTAATTAGGACTACCCCTCCCCCACATGCTTTGATCGCGGAGGAGCCGTCGGTGTAGAGGGTCTACCAGTCGTCCGAAGTAGCCGAGGGCTCCCCGTCCGTGGCTGCCCTTGCGGTACATTCCGTTACAAAGTCCGCCAGGGCTTGGCCCTTGATGG